GGCATCTTTGATGGAAAGATAGCTGGGTACCTTACTGGCTGTCTCTCTGGAGTGGAGATAATTCCCTGACATCTGGGCTCTAAAATTCCTTTTTGCTTGGCTAGGCCTGAGACCTATTTATTAATTTTCCCATGGGAACACATCAATCAAATGAAAGCTCTTTTCAAGCCCCTGCCAACTTTGTGTTCTGACAACTCTCTCTGCTTTTTTGTTGGTATAATTTTAGTAAAGATAGTTTGGATCTTTAAGTTACTTAGGGAAACTTTAGATATCCCCAAACATGTTCCTTGGTGGACTCTCCCTTTCCATCTCCTGTTTCTTCTTTCTTTAACATGTCATTGTTCCTCTCAGGTCCCTTGCATCCTTTGCTTTGTCTCCTTCTATGTCCTCCCTCCTCCCTCTGCCTGTGCCCAGAGCTGCACGTTTCACTTCCCTCTTTAGCGCCTCTGTTCCTGCAGTGACAGTCACTTGTTCCTCTGTCTCAAGCAAGGGCTCTCAAGGAACTCAGGATCCTCCAAAAGCAACTACTTGAGGTTGAAAGGCAAAAGGTTAATTAGACATAAACTAAATATGTTGTCCACTTAGATGGGCTTCAAAGACATTTAGAGGGCCAAAGATTTCTTGTCTCCTTCACCTAAAATGAAGATTCCCTTAAAAGCCTTCTTCACACATATTTTAATTCCAAGAATCTTTACCCCATATTGAATATATAATCTCACCTTGTTGCATTTTATCAGAAACACAATTTAGATGAAATATTATATAGAGGTAATAGCAGTATGTTTTGTGTTACAGTGTTGCCTGATTCATGCCTAAAATTTTAGAATGGAAGCTGGAGATCTGTGTGTCTGCATGTTTATGCCTGTATGTGTGTATGTAAGTGTGTATGTGTTATATGTTACATATATATGATATTTTCTCAGCTCTAGATGATATTCCTAATGAAAAATATAAAATCTCTGAATGGTTTTCTATTCCAACACACTGTGAGATAAATGAGCACTTACATAAATTAAACATACCTAAAATAACCAGAAATGTAGAAAAAGTCAAATGCTTTCAATATTTACATGGCTTAGTAAATCTTTGGAAAATATGACTAGTTTGATGTTATTGGTTTACTAAAAACAGATGTGTTACTCAGATATCATCATAAGTATAATATGAGCTTATATTTTTATTCCACCTGGGTTTACCAGTCACCTATGGTTGCAATTAGTTTACAAGGAAATCATTTGAGATGAGGTCTAGTATTTTTGCTGTTAAGTGTGAAAAGTATGTCTTCCTAAAACCAGTTTCCAAAATCTTTTTGTTAATTTGATACCTTAGTTATATACTAAGTTAAATTAAGGAATATTTGTTTATTATATGTGTAGCCCATTTCTACATAAGACTGAAACACTTAAGTATGCATTCATTTAATTTTTACATGTGGCTTTGAAGCATAATTATATTTGTGTCTGTTAAGAAAATTAAGAATTATTGAATGATATAACAGTCTTATAAGAAAACGTGTCACTAAAACATTTGCTTGTCAAATGGACTTTCATCACATCTTTAACTACTGCACTTTGATGAACCTGCCTAAAGTAGACATGGAAATGAATGATCTAATAAAGAATGATTATAATATTTTTGACATTAAGATTGAGATTTTGCTGGAATTTGATGTTTTGTTTTCATGATTCAAGGAACCATTTTTTCTTTTCCCGACAGTATTTTTTCACATAACAAATTTGTAGTTTATACTTTTTAATAGAAATTAATCATTTATTGGCTTCTCTTTTTCTAATCTCTACAGAATTTGGAAACAACATACTAGACGCTCTTGCCGTTAGAAGTTTAACTCTGTTTCCAAACTTGGCTTCCCAGGTTTCCTAGCCTCAGGAGGCTTTTAGAAGTCTAATCTGAGATTTCTTTTGGAAAGATCTGGCAAAGGAAACCCCAAAAGCCTCTTGATCAATTTCCACCAATTGCTTCATTAATGAAAATAATCCACCCAATTTAATGAAATTAAACATACTTGGTCAGGAAGAATTACCTTACTTTACTTATCATTTTTCAGAAATGGAGTTGAGTGGTTGTAGGTAAATTTCATGCCATAGAGGACAATATTTTGTGTTATTTTAACCTGTAAATTGGGACAGTGTCATGTTGTGTCCATCCTCACTAAATTTTCAATTCTAGGTTCCTCATCAAACTAAAGTGTTCATTGTTTCTGCTGTCTTCCTGGTGTAGACTACCAGGAGCAAAATTCTGACTTTTTTTTGGTGTGTGACTCTCTAAAGATTTCCCACAAGTTGAAGCTGGGTAGTTTCATGCTTTGCTCTAAGAAATCATCACAACTGTGACATTGATATCTGTGTCATCACTAGAAGCACTTAAAGTGCACATCAAAAAATTTGTCAGTTGTGATGTCTGAGTACTATGTTCTGTCTTCAGCAAGGATTATTGTTTTGGCCAAAATTTCCTTGACTTCTGATGTTTGTTCCTAGTAATCATTTATCCACTGACCCTCACCCTGCACTTAGGCCGAACTTCATCTATCTCATTCTTTTTCTGGAAATCCTCTCTTTCCTCCTGTATTGACACTGTCATTTCCATTTAACAAAAATGGACAAATCTTTTAAAAATAGGATTGATCTACCCAGAACTTCCATTACTCTTAGGTGTGCTTTTGGAATTGAATTTCAACATGTGGCCTCAAAGTTTGGTTTTAAGTACCTATGTTTGGATTTTAAATGTTCAATGAGATCAGATACAATGGTACTGCTAATAAAAGAGTAGACAAAAAGAATTTCTTAAGTGATTACTTAATAGTGAAATAAAAAATTATTGCTGTTTAATGTAACAGCTCTGTGTTTGGGATTGTATAGGGATTCTGGCCCTGAAAATGTAAAGGAAAGCATTCTCATGGTGAGAAAACACACAGGGAAAGGGAGGTAACAGGAACTCTGTTTCCCACCCTTAGAATGCCCTATAATTTTTCTAAGGATCTAATAATATAGCTAATATATGTGCTATGTCCAGCAGGTATGGCAATGCCCTGAGACCTCTGTGTTAGAGCCTCATCAAGCCTCAACCTTGATTGTAGGCACATACTCCTGGGAATAGAAAAACTTGTTTGCTAGATAACTACAATGTTTCATCAAGCTTCTGTGCTCCTGGAGCTGCCCGCCTAACATTCAGACAGTGGCTTTTCTTGAGAACTGCACAAAGCTCCTAACACTGCATACTGAAATTGTGAAATGTAACTGCAGAATAAGCAACTTTACTGATATTCTAAACAATAATGTGGTTATGGTACTAATGACCTGATGTAATCTATTGGTATAAATAAATGTGGCCACTTGGACAAAGAGCCACTCTGCCACCTTCCCTGCTTCTGCACTTTGACTCTGTCTCCTCCTTACAGGATTGGGTCTCTGATGGCTTCATGACTTTGGAATGCTTGATGGCTAGGAAGTTTCTGTGCAAAGACACAGAATGCCTAGCTGCTGTAGCAATGACTGCATGAAGAGGCTCTGTGGTAGAGTCTTATTACCCTCAACTTTCATCTCAGGCACATAGCTCATGGGAATAAAGAAATTCTCTTGTTAAACAACCACAGTGTTTCACCAAGCTCTGCTGCCTGAACCTGCCCACATAATAGTAACTTTAAACAATGGACTTTCTTTAGAGCTATACAAAGCTCCTAACATTGTACACTGCAACTATAGTGTGTAACTGAGAAAAAAACTGCATAATGTTGCTAACTCTGTATCCTGCCTAATGACACAATGAACAATAATGTATTACTGATGCCAGTGACCTAATGTAACCTATTGATATAAATAAAGCTGGCAACTTGGACATTCTGCCATTTTGCCTCTGCATCTTGTCTCTATGTCTCTTTTTATTATCCTTACAGTTTATTGGAATGATAAGTGTGCAGTGTTTGTTAAAAAATACATCAGATTCTTATGTTTTTCATAAGCAGTAATAATCTAAATACTTACAGAATTTTGAATCTAAAGTATGAAATATGAGATTTCAAGAGCTATGTAATGTTTTGAACAACCAATAAAAAAAGCTAAGAGCATCCTACACATACAAGTTAATATATATTCTTCAAATATGCAAAATTTATGGTCATTGGTAACTCTGCAGTATATATCTTTTTTTCTGTAAGATAAGTAAAGTGTGGTGACCCACTTTCCCACAGGGAGTTTTCCTGAGTTTCCCGATAGCCTTGGGTAGACAGGAAATGCCTGTGGTTCTTCCCTATTATAATATTTCTCACAAAATTTCTCTTTCATGTTCACAGTCTGTCTTTCAATGTAGAATGTAAGGTATTTGGGAGAAGAGACTGTGTTATTTTGTTTCTCTGCATATAAAGAATTTTCCTATGGTACATGCTAGTCATTTCTTTGAATTAATGACTGATGTTGTCTTGTATGTTGAGAAATAAAGACCTTAATTTAACTGGAGTTTTGTGTAGCTCTCAAAAGTCCCCAGCTTTTACTTTTCTATTATTAAAAAAATAAAATTCACATGGTTATGTGAATATGCATAGACATGTAAGAATTTCTATCTACAGATCTCTTTGTCCCATTTCCTATAACTTTTTTTTTTCACAATGAATGAGACATTCTGAGTGAGAACAGAGAATCATTCTTGGTGAAAATGCAAGGACAACAGAACCAACTAAATAGGAATAGGTTTACCTTAGGCAGAGGTTTGGCAGGTCTGCAGTGGAGTCCTCCAACGAAATCAACATTTGGTAGGGTTGGGCGAGGAAATTCCAAATCCCAATAGGTTCTAATGAGCCATATATCTGCTTTTGACATTGTCTCTAATAATGTAGTGGGTCGTCCTGAACAGGAAAAGGAATACAAAAGCTATAGGACATTAGAAAGTTATCATGTGGAAATGAATATGTCTGGTAAGTATCTGAAAAAACTTTTAATAATGAAGCCAAACATGTTTAAGAGTGTCTGTGATTTAATAAAGCTAATGTGTGTGTATGCATATGTGCATATATAAAAAAATATATATGTTGCTCATATTTATGTGGACATCTGTGAAAAGCACAATGTGAGAGATGAATTAAGTGACAAAATATTTGAATTTATAAATGTGGAAACTAATCTACAGATACCGAGATGATTCTCTCAAAGCTACATAGATAATTGTTCTAGAAATATTTGTAGGGGTCATCAAACTGCATTTTAGACTCATGAAGACATTGACTAACATTAAAAATGATTGCTTTTGAAGATGAAATATAATGGATACTAAAAGGTTAATAAAGGTGTGTCACTGCCTAGGGAAGTCCTCAGTGGCTTATTTTGTGTGTGTGACTTCCTGCTGCATCCAAACATTTCAAACTAACTTTACAACTTAAGCTTTTCCATAGTGTTTTGAGTTTGATGTATTATTGTGATAAAATATTTTTTTATTTTATCACCATACTTTTAAAAGGTTAACTTCTCTGACTTCATACTCCCTCAGGCTCACCCTCAGAGACATGACTAATTTTGGAATTTTCATTGCCATTAGAAAATAGGACTTACCTAAAATTTCACTGTAAAACTGATTCCACTTCTTTTCATTAAATGTTTGGAACCAAAAATCAAAATATAGCACATACAGCATATTTTTTATCCTCTCTATGAATGTCATTTGATCACTTAATTCTGACATAATAATAGGCACATAGGAAGGAGGGAATGAAAGTCCTGCACTATATTTTTCATACGTGTAGCCATACAAAAAGCGAAGAGTATGCACACTTGGTATTTCAAATAGCTCAGCTAGCAGCTCACCACAGGGACCAAATGCATCTGCAAGAATGACATCAAACTTGGATTCACGTAGTTTTGTCATAAGATTCTTGTTAAAAACTACCTCTTTACAGAGTGTCAAAAAGTATTCAGAATCTTCCCACACCAGTTCTTGCAACAGTGAAAAGTATGTCCAAATTGATTGTTTTGGCAGCTCATAAATCCACTTCCTGATTGCTTCAATGTAAAAGTCTTCCATGTCAGTTTTAGACACTGCTGAAGGGTAAGTCTCAAATTTAATAGCAGATCCTTCCTCAACATAAAAAGAAACAGAAGCTGAGGATATCAGAACAGTCACTTCGTGACCTTTCTGAACCAGTTCGTCCAATATTGTCTTTATATTTATCCAATGGCTGTATTCCATTGGCCACACAAGCACCTTCCCACAACTTCCAGAACTAAAGTGACTACTCAGCTGTAACAGGAGCAGAAGTGCAGTCATTTTTGTATACATCCTGGTGAGATGCAAGTCTTCCTTTCACACTGGATTCCCTCTGCTCTTGCTGATATCCAAGCAGAAATCATTAGTTAAAATATAACTTGTACACACCTAAGTAAATACATACACTGATAGACAGAGTGTCTGACTTCCAAGTGGGAAAAGCAAATGGTAGATGACCTCATGTTTATAAGAAAATGTGCCATGATTCCTTTCTGTGTTCTTCCCTGTAGTTAAGTGTTGATTACCTTACATGTATATGTCTCTTATGTTATACTTGATGTTTTTCAATAATGTCAAGAACAGTGGCTTGTGACATATTACTTTTGTTTGCAGCTTCTTTGTACAGAAGCAGAAATGTAGTCATGATTTAGGTGAATCAGCATTTAAGGATAACTTCCTTCAATGAATTTTTTTTTGGGGGGGAAGTATCAATTTTTTTTCATGTAAATCACATATCATATAATGCAGCAATAAACATAAAGCTCAGTGATACATAGTACAATCTCAGAATTGTAAAACCATCACTGCAATCAAATTTAGGGCATTTTTGCAAGCTGAAAATAAGCCCTATGCCTCTACTTATTCTCTTTGCTACACTCCTAAGAATGTCTAATATACTTTTTTTTATATAACTCTGTAGGGACTAGTATAAAAGCTACTAGGTACAGAATATGAACCATTTGCCTCTATTATACTGACTCCATTTCCTGTGTAATATTTAATTTCAAAGTGTTACATTTTTCGTCTCTCCTTTATATACCTCTGTATTAACTGAAAGAGTATTACATTAATAAAATTAAAAATATGTCAATTTAGTGTTCTGGTTATCTATCACTGATTAACAAATTGCTCTCAAATGTAGAGAACTAGAACAGCAACATTTGTTTTGGTATCTTTTTTCATAATTTTGTGTTTTGAGTGCATTCAGCAAGGTGAGTTTTACAGAGGCTTTCTAAGGTGGATATGATCCTGTGGTGGCAGGGATATAATCATGGAAGGTCATTCACTTCTCCAGTCAATGTCTAGAAAAATAAAACTGACTTTTTGGGTTGGAACAAGTGGGACAATTCTCTCTCTCCACTAAAAGTTTATCTTGGAGGCTTCTGTACTGATTCAGATTCGATAGAGTGTGGAGAAATGAATAAGAGAGAAACGAAGAGACAGAAAAAGGACACAGGGACAGAAACAGAGAGAGAGAGAGAGAGAGAGAGAGAGAGAGAGAGAGAGAGAGAGGGAGAGAATGTGTTGTCTTTTCTAATAGTTTTTGAAAATAAACTATGTGATTTCTACTGTATTGTCTTTGTTGAGGGGCTATAAGGCTTGCTGAAATTCAGCTGGAAAGGTCACCCAGAGGGAGCATAGCTTGTTAAGATTGTCAGAGTATTTGAAATCATATGTCAATCACCACAATTTTTTTAAGTCATTAACAAAGGTCACTAATTTACTCTAAAATGCATTAAATACTTATTTTAAATGCTAAGTAATTTCACAAAAATATGTGACTTTAGTTTTTACTATACAGAGGTTTAATAATATATTTATTCATATTTTTTGTATTTTTAATTTTTTTATAGATATACATAATGATAGAATGTATTTTGACATATATGGAGTGTAACTTATTCTAATTAAGATCCCGTTATTGTGGTTGCACTGATGCGGAGTTTCATTGGTCATGTATTCCTATATGAACATAGGAAAGTTGCCTCTAATTAATTCTATTGTCTTTCCTATTCCCATCTCTCCTCCCTCCCCTTCATTCCAATGATCTTCTTTTCTTTCCTCTGCCAGCTTGTTTTGTGTTAACATTGTATATTATAACATTTGGCCTTTGGTGTGTGGGGATTGGTTTATTTCACTTAGGATGATAGTCTTCAGTTCCATCCATTTAATGGCAAATGCCCTAATTCTATTTTTCTTTATGGCTGAGTAATATTTCATTGTGTATATATGCTACATTTTCTTTATCTGCTCATCTGTTGAAGGGCACTTTGATTGCTTCCTTAGATTTCTATTGTTAGTTGAGCTGCTAAAAACATGAATGTGGCTGCATCACTGCAGAATGCTAATTTTAAGTCCTTTGGGTTTATAATAAGGATTGGTATAGCCAGGTCAAATGGTGGTTTTATTCCAAATTTTCTGAGTAATATTTATAGTGCTTTCTGGAGTGGTCGCACCAATTTGCAGTCCCACCAGCAATGTATGAGTGAAACTTTTCTCCCACATCCTTGCCAACATTGTTACTTGTATTCTTGATAATTACTATTCTGACTGGAGTGAGATGGAATCTCAATATAGTTTTAATTTGCATGTCTTTAATTTCTAGAGATGTTCAACATTTTTTATGTGTTTGTTGACCAAACGTATTTTTTTTCCTGTAAAGTGTGTGTTCAGTTCCTTTGTCCATTTATTCATTGGGTTGTTTGTTTTTTTGTATATCCTGGAGATTGATGCTCTATCTGACACAGAGACAAACCTACATAAATACAGTTATCTCATACTAGACAAAGGCACCATAAACATGCATCGCAGAAAAGATAGCCTCTTTTCAAGTGGTACTGGGAAAACTGGAAATCTATATGCAGCAGAATGAAATTGAACCATATCTCTCACCTTACACAAAATTCAACTCCAAGTGGATCAAGAACATAGTCATTACACCAGAGACACTGTGCCTAGTAGAAGAAAATTTAGGTCGTACTCTCCATTATGTCAGCTTAGAATCTGAATTCTTCCACAAGACTCCTAAAGCATAAGAAGAAAAATCCAGAATCAATAAATGGGCAGTATCAAAGTAAAAACTGTTCTCATATCAAAGAAAACAAGAATGTGCATAGACGGACTACAGAATGGAAGAAAATCTTTGCCACCTGCACTATAGATATTTTAAATATGAAACAAGTGTCATACTTTCTGGCCCAGGAAGTATTCTGAATGAGTCTAACAAACTGTTAATTTGATATCAAATCTTATAGCTAGCTATGTTGAATCAATGTTTGTTTTACAAATTAGTTTTAAGCCACATGGTTAATTGCAATTTATTATTGTGGAAAGTCAAATATCACAGAAGTACAGAGATTTAACATTAAAATTATTTACCTTGAAATTCTATGTATTTTTTGCAAATTATTTACACAGTGTTTGTACAAGTTCACATATATTTTACTTCATTCCAAAGTGCTTTTCAAATTTCTGAACTTTAAGAAAGTCAATTTGACAAGAACAGCATGGTTTAGTACTTTATAACATTAATTGTAAGAGTGTTTTCACTGACTGTTAGCCATGGAGTTCCAAAGAAAGTATCTCATAAACAAATATGATGATGTGTGGGTTATTGCTGCTTGTGATTAATAAATATAGAATTTCAATAGCAAGATGACTTTTCAATTTGATTTAAAAATGTTACCCCACATTATGTTTTCTTAAAAATAGTTTATTTCTAGTATTATAGGTTATGAGTCTTTTTGAAAAAAAGTCTTGATTTCATTTCTGTTTTCTACATATCATTAGATTTTTGAAGCATGTAAAGTTTAAAAAATTAATTGACACATAATAATTGTGCAAATTTATGGGGTAAATTATGATATTTCAATTCATATATAATATTTAATTGTCAGATCATAGTAACAACAGATCCATCACCTGAAACATTAGTCATTTCTTGTTGGAAACATTCAAAATCTTCTCTACTAGCTATATAAAATATGCAATTAACTGTTATCAATGTTACTTATTCTACTATGTAAAAGAACATTAGAATTATGACTCAAGTATAGTCACACCCCTCTGTTTTTTCCATTATTCTTTCCCCTTCTTCCTACCTTTTTCTACTTCTGTGTGTTTAACATTTGTGCTTCTGCAAATGAGAACCTATGGTATTTGTTTTTTGGTGCTTGCCCTATTTCACTTAACATGATGTGCTCCAGTTCTGTTTATGTTGGTGCAAAAGGCAGGACATCACCATTTCTTTTGGACAAGTAATATTTGATTGTGTTTACAAAACACATTTCTTATACTTATTTGTCCATTGATGGGAACTTAGTTTTATTCCATATTTTGGCTATTGTGAATAGTGATGTGAGAAATATGGGAGTATAGATTTTTTTAACATATCAATTCCCTTTTATTTGAATATATACCAGTAGTGAAATTTCTGGATAAAGTGATATTACTGTTTCTGGATATTTCTTTCCTTTTTTGGGAATTTCCATGATGTTTTCCAATACTATACCAATTTACATTCTTGGAAATAAAGTATAAGCATTCCCTTTCTCTGCATTCTTGCCAGCAATTTTTTTGTGGTCTTTTGATAAAGCACAGTCTTACTGAGGTGAGATAATTGATATCTAATTTTGGTATAATTTGCAGTTTCCGAATAATTTTCAATGCTGAGTGTTACTTAATGGCCATTTGTCTATATTCTTTTGAGAAATATCTAATCAGGTCTTTCCCCCAATTGTAATTGTGGTTGAGATTTATCTATCTATCTATCTCTCATCTATATATCCAACTATCTATGTATTTATCTTATATCTATCATTTATCCATCCATACTGGAGATTGAATACAGGGCCTGTGCATGCCAAGCAGTGCTCTTCCACTGATCTACATTTCCAACTCTTTTTACTTTTTGTGTTTGCTAAACTGCCAAAGTTGGCATTGAACTTGCAATTCTCCTACCTCAGATTTTCTAGCAACTGGGATTAGAGAAATGCCAAATATGCATAGTCCAAGAAGGGGAATAGCTGGGTCAAATGGTGATTCCATTCTCATCTTTCCAAGAAATCTCCATACTGCTTTCCAAATTGGCTGCACTAATTTGCAGTCCCACCAGCAATGTATGAGTGTACCTTTTCCCCTGCATCCTTGCTAGTACTTGTTGTTGTTTGATTTCATAATGGCTGCATTAAAAAATCCTCAATAAAATTCTGGCAAATCAAATACAAAAACCTATCAATAAGATTGTGCACCATGATCAAGTGCCACAAATAAATGATCTCACACTACATCTGAAAGCCCTAGTAAAAGAAGAGCAAATCAACAGCA